AAGAGGGTTTTCTGATTATAAGGATGTAAAAAAATAATGAAATTGTTTGGTAAAATCCCGAATTTGTAAGGATTTGTGTATAGTTATGTATTCGGTAAACCAATAATTTATAAGGTTATGATAGTTGCCAAATGACGAGAATAAACATCATACTAAATCTGACACTGTGGCAAATTAATTAATTGTACATTAAGCAAATAATTATTATTATTAAAGTTATTAATTAATTAACTAAGCAAATAATAAAAAAATTATTTCACATTATGACTTTATTAATAACAATTATATTGGGGAATCCCAGTAGGTCACATGGTAAAACCGTGTGGCTTCCTCGTGCGAGGAGTGGGTTCAATTCTCGTGTGCACAAAAGGAGCAATCAAAAAATAATTATATTAAAAGATAATAATTATTAATTTAATAATAAGTTAATTAATATAAGTTATTAATTTAATAATAAAGTTATTAGTAATTACTTATAATAACTTTATTAACAATAATTACAAAAATTAATTAAAAGTAATATTTACTTATTATTAAAAATAAAAATACATAATTAAATAATTATAATTAATGCATTAAATAATAATTATTAATCAATTCATTTATCCATTAAGGCATTAACTAATTAATTAATAATTATTGTTATTTATTGTTAAAAATAATTTAGTATAAATAATTAACTAAATAATAATAATTAGTAAAAATTGTTTATTAATTAACTAATTTGTTAATAAAAATAATTATTTATTCTTAAAAATAAGGTTCCGGAACAAGGCGATGAACTGTCGGGACCCGATCACTAAGGAGTTTATTCTCCAGACTTGCCACAACAACCTCGCATTGGACGTGTTAGAGGCAATGGGAACGGCACCGTCTAACACTTGGAAAGACTTGAAGGTGCGCGGTGAACAAGCCGAACGCTTCCTCCGAAGGAAGAAGGCCGAGAGGAACCTACCGACGGCTAATCCTCTGAACTCAAACTTCGCCTCTCGTGGTAAGGGCAAAGCACCTGCAGCTACTGGTGGTGCTAATCAAACATCGCAACAGCAGCCCCGGAGACAGCAGAAGACCTCAGATCGGAAACTCCAAAAAGAGTATTCCTTCAAAGACAAAGATGTTCCAGCCATCTTCGAATCACTCCTTAAAAATAACAAGATCAAGCTGCCACCGATCACGAATCAGGAGGAAGCTGACAATACTACGGATCCGAAGTACTGCGCATACCACAGGAGGATCCTTCATCCCACCAAGGCCTGCTTTACTTTAAAGAATAGTATCCAGACCTTGGTTGAAGCCGGCGTCATAACGCTAGGATAAGCCAAATAAGAACGGCGACACTCCGAAGAGTATACGAGTATAAACTGCTTCTCAACACTCCGACAAGTATAAGAGTATAAACTGCTTCTTAATACTCCGACAAGTATAAGAGTATAAACTGCTTCTCAAGACTCCGACAAGTATAAGAGTATAAACTGCTTCTTAAGACTCCGAAGAGTATACGAGTATAAACTGCTTCTCAATCCTCCGACCGGTATAAGAGGTTAAACTGCTCCCTGATACTCCAACATGTACATGAGTCTGAACTGTTTCATTTCTTTCACGGGAAGTTCCTGGAGAATTTTTATATGTAATATTCTTAAGGATAACCCGGTCATGTAACTGAGTACAATGTCGGACCCAGTTCCACAAGGGAAGCTGGGGGTGGATTATTCATGTATCGGGAAGTTCCCGAAAGAATACCACGGGTGATATTCTTAGAGATAACCCAATCACTATAAAAGTGATAAGTAAAACATCCACATTTAAACTTTGAATGTCGGAATGTTTTCCATTTTTGTTATCGAATTTACTAATTCTCATGAGTTATCTTGTTGAGACGATATTCAATCCTTTTGACAGATTAATCCTTCCTCACAAAAAAATCCCCCACTGATCAAGTCAATTGACGGTGGGTCCACTAAATTTTCTGTCCGCCAATTCATGGCAATTTCCAAAGCTTGACGTGTTAAGTCCTGATTACTTAACGTCAAAACCCTTCATCGAGTGGCCAGTACCAACCAGTATTTCTACTGCTACTTGTATTCCACTCCCTGTCCGTTCGGTCAAACCTTCCTACAGTTAGGACCACAATCAAAATCCCCTCTCGATTCCTCCAATGAACGAGAGGTCCACTTTCAAATCGAGTGATCAAACCTTCCTACAGTTAGGGTCATCTCAAACTCCTACTTGGTCAAACCTTCTTCTGGGGGTGGAGATCCCACCTCGAGTCTCCTTTCCAGCTGAAGATAGAATATAAAATTCTTCTTCTTCAGTGTCGGGAGATAGAATATAAAATTCTTCCTCTTCCATTCGGGTTCGTCTTTGCCCCAAGAGAAGACACCACCTTTTTCAACTCCCAAAATCTATGCCTCACAGGTACAGGGAATTTTATCCCGAATCCTAAGTAGGGATAAGTCAACGCCTAACACGCGTTGCCGGTTTAGTCTTTCTCCGAAGAAGAAGACACCAGAGTTCGATTCTGGGGTATTCTATCCTGAAACCTAAGCAAGGATAAGTCTGCGCTTAACCCGCGCTGCCGGTTAGTTCTTAACCGTTGAAAAGAACATCCGTCCACATATTCAACATTGTGGCAGGGTGTTATTAATAACGCCAAAATCCATGCCTTACACGCATGGGGAATTTCATCCTGAATCCTAAGAAAGGATATGCCGATGCCTAACACGCGTCGCCGGTTTAGTCTTTTTCCGTAGAAAAAGACACCAGAGTCAGATTCTGGGGTATTTTATCCCAAAGCCTAAGTAGAGATAAGTCAGCGTCTAATACACGTTATCGGGTAGCCTATTCCCATAACAAAGGCGAAGTCTACGTATTCGAAGTCGTAGCGCCGAGTCTAAGAGAATTCACTCTTTTAGCACAACGTTACATGCGGAACGGATCTAGACAATCCGCATGCTAGCCCGACTCAAACGGTAATTGGTAAAGGCTAATCAAATCCGTTGAAGGCTGGGGGTTAGCCAAAAATCCTAAAGTCAGCGCCTAACACGCGTCGTCGGGTAGTCTATTCCCGTGAGAAAGACGAAGTCTACGTATTCAATATCGTAGCAATAAGAGCGTTAACTCTCTTAGCACAACGTCACATGCGGAACGGATTTAATAATCCGCATGCTAGCCCGGCTCAAACGGTAGTCGGTAAAGGCTCATCAAAGCCGTTGATGGCTGAGGGTTTGCCAAAAATCCTATAAATACGAGAGTCACTGACGCGTCAGCTTTATTAGTTGGTCTCGTGACTTGAGCATCCAACGACTTCGGGATAAGATCTGTATCTGCACACGAATCAACTTTTATAGTTGGTCCTGCAGCCCCAGCTTTTGGGACCACCACGCTCCAACACCTTAAGAGTTTAAACTGTGTAGACCCAAGGTTAACGCGTGGTAATGAAAGTCAACATACGACGTTCGAAACCCTATGGTCAACGCCAGTCAACGCGTTGCGATCAAAAAGTTAACGTACGACGTTCAAAACCCTAAGGTCAACGCCGGTCAACGCGTAACCCTAGGTCAACGCCAGTCAGCGTACGACGTTCAAAACCCTAAGGTCAACGCCGGTCAACGCGTAACCCTAGGTCAATGCCAATCAGTGTGTTGCAATGAAAGAATCAATACTCCGAAAAGTATACGAGTATAAACTGCTTCTTAATACTCCAATAAGGTATACGAGTATAAACTATTCTCTATTTTTGGTTGAGAAGTTTCTGGAGAATATTTTTCTAAAAATATTCTTAAGGATAACTCAACAACACTACTGTTTCCGTCGAAAGTTACCTTAGTCATTGATTTCATTAAACTTTAAGCGTTACAAATGAATTCAAATAACAAAAGAACAAAAGATTACAACTTTCTTGAAAATAAACACGAGATCCGTTCGTCGTCTCTTGCTTGCGTGGGTTCTTTGCCGGTGCCGGGGTTTATCCGTGGACCACCTTAGATCTAGATCCGGTTGATGAAAAATTCGGCAGAGCTTCTACCTCACCAAGGGGGTATTTGCTTGAAGTCCTGAAATCGACAAAGCGAAATCATGGCTCTTCTCGAGATTAAGACAAAGCCTAATCTCAAGGAACGGACGTACGGGCTTC